AATTGCAATGGGTGCATACTGTAGGTTCTGGCCAGTTAGCTGAGACCACCACCCCTACTTTGCAAGTTACAGCTGTGGCTGGATTGGAACTGTTAGCTCTTGTGCACCACTAATCTTGTATAAATCTGAATTAACCCATTAAGGTGGCTCCCTAGGGTTTTTTAATTTACTACACTATAGTATTCAGGAGACTCCTGTTTCTTTACTTTACATGATATGAAGACGAAATTTATTGGAAACATTGACAATGTTCTCCTGAACATTACAAATTGCTACTTTTGTGTTAAAAATATGTTGTCATGGCAACAGCATGCTTAGAATAAAGCTCATAATTTGTCTTTTTCAGGTCATTTTAAAAAGTTCCTTCGGTGAAATTTTTTAAAACTTTGCATAGAAGATAATACTTGTATAATGATTCTTTTCCCTCAATTTAAAAAAATTAAATCGATACGTTTCTTAGAAAATTTAAAAAACGTCAAAAATCAATATTAAAAATTTTCCCTTCGATTTAATTTTAAGAAAAAAGGATATTGCACTTGTTGTACCGATATTAAAAAATGTGCAAAGTTTTAAAAAATTTTACCGAAGGAAAACGGGGAAATTTGGGTTTAATTTTTGGCAATTTTTACTAGATTTTTTCGCGAACAGTTTAATACCCCAACTGACGTGTACATGCATTTTGTATAAAACAACGTACAAGTCATGACTTTTTCGAAATCACAAAATATAAATTATGTTCGATATACTGTTTATAACTGTGTCGGTTAATGGTCAACTAATCGTGGATTATACATGTAAAAATGGCAAAGATATTTAGGTAATTACTGGTTATGACTTCTTGGTATTAATTTGAAAAATGTTTGTCAAAATTCGTCTCGTGCGAGTATTATCGTCGGATGTTTTCGCAAAATGCCCGTTCAAATTTCAGTTTTTATAGCGGTATGTTTGAAGTTTCGGCCCTGCTCATTTCACCCGTAGAGGGCTCATTATTTAAGTCATCTTTTTTGTCATAAGTGCTGCTAGATTGTGGAGAAAACACTGCAAATTCTTGAGGAAACTTTATATCCCAATGTTCGCGATCGAACCTCGCGCACGGCGGTTCAAAAAACACCCAGAATACCGCTTGAAAACAAACAAGTTTACATTATCTTCTTTTGAAACATCACATCCAAGTATCGTCTTGGCTGTTAGAACTCTTTTATGCTTTCATGCAACTAAAGCAAAGTTCACACTTTTGTTTCAAAAAAGAGTTTCATATAAAACACAACGTTCGTTCGTATTTTGAAGTCACACGAGTTTTAGTTTACATATATACGAAGAACGTAACCCCCGGAAATAAAACCTTAGGGAGCCACCTTAAGTGCCTAAGCAATTTTTTGCACACAAAAAGAAAAATATATAGATAGCTACAGTAAACTATCAAAGAATTGCGAAGAATTTTTTTTTTTTTTAAATTTCACAAATAGTAACTGGCAACATTAATGCCAACAAAAGCAAATTTAAAGCGTCAGGGAAAACAAAGGTAAATTCGCCTACCGTATTTCCAATTCTAAACGCGCAAAATTGCACCAACACTCGATCTTTCAAACCACTCGTAAAATGTACTATCATGTTGTTTCCTATTCTTTATAAATGTCTTTATTTCTTTAACATTTCCGTAGTATTTTGAACCTATTATATTACAAAACTAAGTTCATCTCGTTCACTTAATTGTTGTTGCTATTCTACAGCAGGCACTCAGGCCTGAGGGAGGTACCGAAGGCGTGTCTTTTGCAAACTAAAACGTTTCCGGTTTCTAAAAATATTTATGACGTCAAAAAGAATATAATAAAGTGAAAATTGAACTTCGTGTCGTGCAATTTTTGACTGAAATCAAACTTGTGATCGCACTTGCTCTTCGCGGTGGTGCGATTTTGTAATCATGCGTATTATTTCAGCCCAAATTGCACTCCACTCAGTTCAATTACCATTATAAGTAGTGTGTTGGATTGTGATTGGAACAAGATTAATACCAAAGAGATACGTTGAAAAGGGCTGAAGTTACATTTGGCAAAAGGTATGGCTTCGCGATACGTTATTTACATTGTTGGAGTGTATTGTATATAGGCTATAGGTATTGTATGGTTAGTTTACATTGCTCAAGTATGGTTTCTTACATTGCTCGATTACATAGTATCTTCCAAGCGGAATTTTTTGGTAGTATCTTCGTATTACTACTGAAAATACTCGCGGAGTTCTTTAATATTTAATCGTTTCGTCATATGTTAGGCCTACTGAAAACAAGTAATGCGGACGAAATTGTGCTTCTTAAAAAGGCTTTAATATTGACAAACTCCTGCAGAAATGAAATATATTTACAACAAATCATCAAATCAAGAAATGTTTGCTATTTCGCTTTCGTCATGCAGTTTTTATAAAGCAAATTTGACCAATGAGTGTTCGCTATTCATGACAAACCGCCATATTTTTGAGATCAGTGAGAATGACTACCTACCCAACATCGTTGATGACCCACGCCCGTGCATGATCATTAAAGAACTTCAGACTTTGCTAATGCTTTTGGTTTCTCGCGGGTGTAAATAACCGGACAAATTAGTACCCTCGCCGCGCGCTTACGCCCGGAATAGCGCTCGCGCCATTGACTCGGGTACGATGAATACAGTTAGAATTCTTAACAACTGACGGGAGCCTCGATTTTCGTATGTCTAGTACCTGTTGCTTGAGTAGTGTAGTATCCATAAAAAACCTTCAATCGAAGACCTTTTTATAAAAGTTTTGTAGTGAACGTGAACCTGAGAAAGATAAATAATGTGTGTATATGTCATGCATATTTACCTTTTAGTGTAATCTATTGTTGGGTATTCGCAGTAATCATTGAATAGAATGGAATTTGATTCAGCCATTGAGCTTATAACTGAACGAGTAACCTTTAACGCTTTACGAGTATGGTTTGCAAAGTTGTCAGGAAAGTCGAGCTCTTCATTTGAAATTAGATTCAACTTATCTTGGAAAAACTTAAAAAAACTTTGAAGTTTTCCGGCCATTTTAAGATTCAGGAACGCTCCATATACAGAGTTAAACACGAACTCACGTGCAGTTATCCACTTTTCGCTTACTACTTTCTTTATTGTGTCGGATACCAAGGAAAAACAGCTATCGTTTATTATATCGCCAGGCAAGGAATCAATAAATTCACTCAACAGACCAAACTTTGTTACGCCTTCGGCCAATAGTTCACTCAGGGCAAAAGGAATTCCTGCCGGGCCCAGACTAGATATCGCACCAGATCCCGCTCCAATTAATAAACTTTTTAAGAACTTTTTACAATCTAACCCATTTTTAATCGTATCCGGATGAAATAATCTCTTCAATCCAGACTTCCCCGAACTAATCAACACTGCAGGAGCTGTTGCACAAAGGACAATAGGTAAACCAAGTCCGCCAGAACATATGCTTAACGCCATTCCGCCCACAATGAGCATGCAACTGCCAGCGAACAAGAGCCGCCGTTTCCGAATTTCTTTCTTGTCACAAGACTCAGGACAAAGAAAAGATTTTGTACGCGTTATGATATCTCTTCTAGAGTCTACTAAGTCATGATAAAAAGACCTTTCCTTATGTCGTTTCAAGATGTTGTAAGCATTGATTATCAAATAACCTCGATTACTGTTTCGTCCAGCACGATCAGGGTGATGAGGACGAATAATTCGACGGAACGCCTTGCCAATAACTTTATCCTGTTCGAAAATATCTTTTTTTCGAACTCTTTTTTCGTGGAGATGAAGAATACGATATTGATCATATATCTTAAAATCTTCTTCCTCTAACAATTTGTCCAGTTTCAGAGCCATGAGCTACAGAAAAAATAATTAAATCATCAAAATCAATTAAAAAACGCATACTGTACAGATCGAAATTGTCGTTTCACCTCTATATATAGCTCCATATATATATATATATATATATATATATATATATATATATATATATATATATATATATATATATATATATATATATATATATATATATATA